GTTTAACCCTTAAATGCATATTGTTGCCAATTGTCTACGTTCCAGGTCCACAAGCTAGAACTACCAAACCAATCAAAATGACTGGTCTTGATTAACTATTTCTCATTCAAGTCTTAGAATTGACAATTAGAGTGGAGGCATTAAGGATTTTAGTAATTCGTCGAATACAAACATGCTAATCGAATTATGGTTAATTCTGTTATTTATAAGCAGTGCTTTGATCGAACATTTTTCTCAATATATTTTCTCCAATAACAATTAAAATTAAGAAATCCAATTTTTCCACTTGAAACTACAAGGCTGTCGTTACTGACTTTTTATAACGAATTTTGCGATAGCTATTTGTCTTGTATGTCAACAATCATTTTTCTTGCGTAATATTTATTTGAAGAATATAATATGAAATCGTTTTCGATGGTTCCCAGTGTGATCGAAAAGTGATGCAATTTATTGTCATTATATATTTTACATTCTTGCGTTATGAAATCATATATATAAGATTCAATATTAATAATATATATATATATATATATATATATATATATATATATATATATATAATATAATATAATATATATAAGATTCAAACAGACTTCAATAAATCTGAATTTATGTTTCTCTTCTGCAGACCGTCGAAACTTCGTCGCAATTATTCTCGTTAAATTAAATGTCGATATCTTCAATTAATCCATAATAATATATTATCCATATTTGCACGAATACTTAACAATAATTGCACGGGAAAAATTATCATCGCGTATTCCAGTTTTTTTACAGCATTCTACTCGTATATCGTGCGTACTACCACAGTAAAAACATTTAGGGAATTTTGAGAACATTGTTTCATTATCTTCAATTTATCGGAGCTATTAGAAATTATCAGATATAAATGTCCTATAAATTAGATATAATTGTCCTATAAATTAGATATGAATGTCCTGTATAGCTGCTGTCAACTGCATCAACTGGTACAAACAATTCTTATTTTGTTTTATCTATTTGCCAATCACTCTCGGTTTTTCATAGAAAACTATTGAATAAATTTCCTGATCCAAGCACGGGTTACAAGAAAAATGGCGAAAGGTTTAAAATACAGTCTCTCCGTCGTCGTAAAGCAAGTTAGTTGCTTTATCGAGCTCGTTAGGTTTAGTGTTAAACTTCCTACAGCGAGTATAGAAATCCCACTTTTTGCGTCGAATTGTTCTCGGCGAAGTAACTTCGACGCAGCTGCGAAAGGATCAGAGTGCTGCGACGGGATAACCCTTAAATGCATATTGTTGCGAATTGTCTACATTCCAGTTCCACTGAATTTTATTCGAAAACCTGAGTATGCGCGCTTCCGAACACACGTTGATAACAATAGACGATAGACCGTGTGTGAAATAAAAGACTCGACATTACTTTTGGCGAGTAAGTTATATGTTTTTTGACATTTGAATGCGGTGGGTGATAACTTCCAGGTTGCAAAGGATTTTCACGGACCGAGCGCATCGAATGCAAGGTTGCTTCGTGTCGCAACAAAAATCGCAATCGCTTTGC